AATGTTTTTTCTGACTTCTGATAGGTAATCCCAGGCCGTAAAACGAGTACAACAATATTTTGTTAGTTAATGCTAACGTTTAATAAAAAAATCATGTAAAAAAATAAGATTAAAATCAAAGCGCCTCTATAGTTTCTATGTTCTAAATATTTCAATCGCTTGTGAAACAATTGAAAATGACCAAGAAGTTTATATAAACTTCTTGAAACTGACGTAATGGGTCTATTTCCATCTTTTGCGCATGCAATGTGTAGAAAAAGGACAGTGAGCTATTTGATTGTTTTGTGTACTTTTGTCATTTATATTTACGATTCATTTATATATAAATTAAATACTATAAAACTGTACAAAATAACACTTTTAAATGATAACTATGATAATACAATATATTCGTTTAGTGAAAATATGATACAAAATCCTGTTTTTACACTTTACTGCAGTAATTTTTACAAGTTATTATTATTGGTACTGCATGATTGACTACCGCGCTGTCAGTCGAACAAGCGAAGACTGTTGCGCGATTGACGCTCTGTATGCGATTTTAACGCCCTACAGGTGCGGACACCTTTTAGCGCGAACCCGACGATCTACCTACTAATAATTAATCAACTATGGAAACAGACGGGCAAAAGAAAAACTCATACAGCCAACTGCCCAGTGTTCATAACTGCGAGAACAAAAAATACCTACCTATACCACTTACTTAAAAAAAAGCATATCGCGGTAACATTTAAACATATTCCAACGTATCCTGTGCCTGGAGAAATAACATTTTCATTTAGCTATTGTATTGTATGAATTTTAATGTTAGGTAATTTTTTTTTGCTTTACGCATTGCTTTAGTCTTTTATTATTTCCTCGCATTGTTTGAGAATAATTCTTAAACATGTCTGGGCAGAAACGGGGATTGCTTGACTCGTATTAATACAAGGCCGCGCTGGCGCACATCCTTGTAACTCATACTCGTCCAGCAATCTCTTACTTCCCGGCCTCTGCAATAATGTACTATATACACAATTATGTGACGATGCTGGTCTTCATGCCATTATCATCCTCGTTTCTGGCCACTTTATTTTTAAAGTTTTTAATGGTTCTCAAATTCCTTTTTTTTTCACTGTTCTTGCTAACCGAGTTCAAAAAGAGGAAGAGGTTCTCAATTCGACTGTAGTTTTTTTTCTGTGTGTATGTTACGCGATAACTCGATTTGTGAACAGATTTTGATGGTTCTTTTTTTTTGGAAGAGGGTACCTCAGAAGTAATCCCATTTAAATTTGAAGAAAATATATCTCCAAGGGTGGTAAACTAGGGGGTGAATGACTTGAGGTCGGTTTTTTTAGTATTCTGTACTGAGGTTATTTGTTCGAGCCGTTTTCACGCCTATCAAAATTCTTGAAACGAAAGGTCGTGCCCACGGAAGAAAAAAACAATGGAAGGGCCTTAAGCATCGATTACTATGAGAACCGATGTCGCCAAAACTCACACATTCTCAATTTGAAACACTACAAATCTTGATATTGATTGGTCGTAGTTTCAAATTTAAAAAGAATTAAATTCTGGATTGTTAATACAATTTAAATTAACCCTATTGGCATATCCTTGAAAGATCAATACTATCAATACTTATTATTACAATCTACGACGTTTTGATATTATATTGAAATTTCAATCAATGTGCTGCAATTTAGTTGAATTGGAGTTCTTAATTTCGTTCTCCAAACAAGTAGTGACCATATATTGCAGGGGTATAACTTTCGTTTCTTGTAACAAAAAAATATTTCGATAAACAGAAAACTTAAAATTTATTAAAATAAGATTTACTAAACGATTACAAAAACTTTATTGAATGAACTGAATGTTTTTTTCCGTACAGCACTATGCAACCATAGACTATTCATATGTCTTTAATTAAAGAAGCTCACTATTTGACTACCATTTTTTAAATACGATTTCACGATGTTATTCAAATGAATATATTTGGAAAAAGTGACGAAATAACAAGTCGAAATATACGTGAAATTCAACTAAACAGTTTTGTTTACATTTTGTTGAAAATGGATTGAAACAGACTTTACCCGAGCGCTCGCGAAATTGTATTATTGGTTCAGTGTCGCTATTAAAAGCCTAATAGGTAGATTTCGTCTAACAGCATTTCTAATACATGAATGTTGTCCTCAGATCCTCAGTGGTTCCGCGCTGTGCTGGTGGAGCAAGTGTCCGGCGCCGGTGGACAGCAGCTGTCGCTCCTGTACGTGGACTTCGGGAACATCGACACCATTGACGTTTCTCAAGTTAGGAAGATGCTCCCCGACTTCGTGAGTGGAGTGCCTGCGCTGGTTAACTCCTTGGAAATACGAAGTTAGTTCATCTTCATTGGTTATATGACGATTTCGGTGGCACAAATTCGATCCCCTACAAAACCAGCTGAACCCTGAGCAAGTCTCGTTTGTAATAAGCATGGAATTATACGAAATTCCGTATCACACATTTATGCCCACGATTTTGATCAGAAATGTGTTTAAAGACCCGGTGCTTTGCGTAAAACCCCGGTTTAAAACCGGGCAAGTTGATTGGGTTTTACCCCTAAGCCCATCTCTGCTCCCACGTAAATATAATCATGTTGTATGTACTTGGGAACACAGTAGCAAACGAAATTCCATCCTAAGCTGTGCGCATAGTAAAAGATAACGAAAAGTGCTTAGTCAGAGCGTCACTCGCTCAAGGTTATGCGGTAAATGCCTACCGCGGACTCGTACACGTCTCATTTATGAGCATTCGGCTCCGCACGCCTGCACACGGCGGGTAACGCTATTTTCACCTCTCTGTGCGCTAGCTTAGGTTCCTTTTTCCTCGTTGTGAGCGCCTGGTGTCATTAGTAAAATTTAATAGGCTGTTATTGCATAGGTCGACCCCTCCTAAAATATCGTATGTCGAAATTGCCAAGTAACACATACACACATAGTATAACATAACACGCGACTTAGCATTTCTCAGTTTTATTCGGCAAAGCTCGTTACTCACATGGAGTATTATAAAATCCTAGATATCGGTTAGATGATCACTCTTTCAGTGAATTCAGAACTTTAAAACGCTCCCCTGTAAACTTGGCAATTTCGACATACGACACTTTACGTAGGGGGGATCTAAGGTATTTTCGATTCTGAATGAGAGTGATGTATCTGTTACTTAGTAACTATTAAGTAATTTGTGGTTTAGTATTAGTCCTACGGTAAAATGGGGAAACGAGCTGATGGAAGCTCATGGGCACGTTCACCAAAGATTATTCTGTAGAAAACCGACAAATAAGCAATTTTGCACCAGTGGGCTAAACTATGAAGAGATTCGAGCTTATCATCGTCAATAACTCATCTGGCTGTGCGTTCAATCGGGTATCGAACCTGGGATCTCGTCACAAAACACAGCTCCGACAGCTGGACCACCGAAACGATGGTAAGTATCGATGTCCTTCGACGATGACCCCCAGATGGTTGCTGTAATTATCAAATACGTAAAGAGTTCGTCCAACGTAGTACTGCCGCCTTACCAATTACTGCCGCCAAGCAGTAATGTGAGTTTTAGCATTACTGTGTTCCGGTTTCGAAGGGTAAGGGTGCTGGTGAAATTACAGGCATACGGGACTTATCAACTTGTGTCTCGGATGACGGGCGTGTAGCTTACCATCAGGCGCACGACTTGGTCGTCCCGTCACTTGATATTATAAAAAGAAACTTTTCACACAGATTTCCCCAATAACCCGTCGGAAGACCAGCTAAGGAACGCCCTGGAACACCTGCAATTGACTGAGGATGGCCGCGGCACTCTACGCTTCACCCGCTGCGTGAAAGAGCATGACGGTCTGTACACTGTCGACGCGCCTGCCTTGATCACCGCCATGAATAGCACCTAAGTGCTTATATTTAAACTTTTGACAAGTTAGATTTTATCTTTCGCCATGTTGTAGCATTTAAAACATTTCGACGCCTCCTACGTAAAGTATCGTATGTCGAAATTGCCAAGTTTACAGGGTAGCGTATTAAAGTTTTGAATTCACTGAAATTATTAGATGAACAATCACAATTTATTTTATAATTTTATGCTAACACAGATGTGGATCTACAAGCGGGTAAACTAAAGTGAGACTGTGCGGGTTGGGTGACAGTTATAAAATTATAAAATAAATTATGGTTGCTCTTCTAACCGATATCTAGAATTTTATAATACTCTATGTGAGTTTGCCGAATAAAACTGAGAAATGCTAAAGTCACGTGTTGTGCTTCTTACTTTAAAACGCTGCCCTGTAAACTTGGCAATTTCGACATACGATACTTTAGGTACGCTGGAGGGGTCGATTTCACATACCACGAATAACCTCTCACATAACATAAAGATACTTTCATTACAGTACCTTAAAACTCAATTTATATTAGAGCGGTTACACACGGCATCTTTGAGCAGCGACGCAAACGCGATGCACTTGCTAATTGTCTACCTTTACACAGACGCATCATTTTAAGCAGTGATGCAAGCTCGCGAGACTGCTTCGATACATTTGGGTTTTATAGGCGATTGCATCGAAACAGTCGCGCGTTTGCATCAATGTAATCGCCTATAAATCACAAGTGAAGCGATGCAATCGCGTGTTTCACCGTGTGTAACCGCTCTTAGTAATGGCAGTGATGTTGCAACGGTAATATCACTGAGTTATGTTTGATGTAGTAGACCGATGTTTGTATTAGCACCCAAATTATTTAATAACTTCCTAAATGGTGTAAAAGAATTAAACTGTAGACAATTTAAAATGAAATTGCATAATTTGTTACTCAATGGTAATACAATATTTTGATTTTTTACTTGATAATTTACAATGTAAAATTTAACAGTGTAGTGTAATCGGATGGTTCTTAATATTTCGTAACTTTGATTGACTCTCGAGTAATATGTTAGTAGTTCTTGTTTATAATGCAAGTTTCAGTTCTACAAATGCGTTTTACAGGTTATGTTTTAGAACGCATCTCATTTTTAACCGACTTTAAAAACAGGAGGAAGTTCACAAAGTCGACTATTATTAGTATTTTTTTTTTGTATGTATATTATCGCAGTGTAATATCACTTTTACGGGAATGTAATGTGATATTACATTACTTTACGAGGTACTGTTTTGCGCATGTCTATGTTTGCGTCGCGCACTTGAGCTCTGAGTGGACGTCCAAAAGCGTACTGTGCGCGTGAAAGACAGCCGGGAACGTGTGCTTGTTGTTCGAAACGCGCAGGGTGCGGGCGTACCGTTCGTAGATGTTCGTTTTGCATTACAAATAATAGTAGGGTTATGTAGCGTAGGGTTGTCAACCATTTTAGTTGTACCTACAGGTTGTAAACAACTGGATGCTGAAAAGTAATAACGATCAGACGACGCAAATGGCGCAGGATCGTAAATATTGGCGTAATAAAGAAGAGGCTTATGCCCAGCAGTGGGTTGATGTTGGCTGACCATGACGAAGCAATAACGTGTTAACCAACATGATCATAGTTTTACGAAAATGACTTAAAGATTTTTGCGTTGTTTTTGTTTTTACTTATAAAATGATTTGTTGTGATTTATTACTATAATTCCCCAACAACAAAATAGCAAAAGCTTTTATTTTATAAGTAAATTTTTGAACAAACTATCAAAATAACAACGAACACTTAGGTGCCATTTTCGCAGAACTATGATCATGTAGTAATGGGAATAATAGTGTTACCGTGAATCATCGAGCGTATAACTAGAAATAGAGACGAAATGTTGTTTGTTGGTTGACACGTTATTGCGCTTATCAGCATCCAATTGTCATCACAATATTCTCGTGCTATTCTGAAATAGCTTTTATCAAATGCAGTACTTGAATATTGATAATTTTGTCTTCCCCACCCAGCAAACTACAATAGGAAAAGCGCTAAACATCCAATGTACTGTCAGCAAACTCGACGCAGTCTCAGTTTCAAAACAATTTGTTCGCAAGCTGAGATTATACGTGTAGCCAGCCATGTCTGTGAATTTGTTGACTTAACCCTTTGCCTATATTACTTTAAAGCACGGGACACACCACACGGGCGTAGGTCGGATCCCGTTCGTGGTGTGTTGTCGTCGTCAACAAAAACCACATAAGTGAGTTTCGACAATTCGATAACTTGACCCGTAGCTCCATTGGTAAGAGCAATGCTACGGTGCAGTATGGTCGTGAGTTCAAGTCCCATCGGGTCGAGAAAGTTTTTCTATGTGTTCGATCTTTCCATTAATAATCATTATAAAAACTAGTGGAGTAATTTCACAAGTAATATCTCGATAATATAAGTAAATTCAGTTTTTTTGTTAGTATAGGGATCTTGATAATAAAATGAATGTCTATATTACTTTCATTTATCCCATCGACTTGAAATTCGATATAGAATGGAAATCCATAGACATTACTAGAATATGGTAACCCTGTTATGATACTGCAACAAGGACAGCAGAACACCCAACTCTTCAACCATTTATTTACATTGGGCCGTGTTTACACTAATTAAATATTGGTCTTGACGAGTTGTTAGCTTATAGATAATGTGACTATATTAACTTTTTTGTGTATATTTTTGTAATTTTACTTTCGTTTTTTTTTATATTATACTAAAGAAGTTTGACGAACAAAAGATCAAATAATTCATCTTTTTGACGTATTAATAATAAAGAAAACGTCCAGAAATTATAGAGCCACTATGACACGACATCGTTTATACTCTATGGAGTACGTAGTCTTAGCTTATATTAAATGTAAAAAATCCACTCGTCCATACAAAAGACAAATCTTTTTTGTATGGAACACGTGCGTAAATTAATAAAAGCAGTTTTATTGGTACAAAAATAAATTAAATCATAAAAAATATATTCTATGATCTACTACTTTAAGTTCGTTCACCTTCTGTTCGGCTTTCAGATCGGCTCTTCCATACAAAAGACACATCTTTTTTGTATGGAACATGTGTAAGCAAAAATTAAAAAGCACCATTCAAACATAAATCGTTAACATGTGTTCTATGCTATACAACTTTAAGTTCATTTTCAATTCTCTATTTTGAGGCGAGGCGATACGGTGACCTCCTAGCTCCTTTTCAATGTCAAATTTTAAAAGTAGGTGAAGCTCAACGCTTAGGACTATCGCAAATACTTTATCGGAGTCTTTATTTACCAAGTTTTTTCTGTAAATAATGAAGAGAACTAATTTGGCATCTCATAAAATCTTCCCGAAATATAGGACGGTCGTCACGTTGTTTGAACCGTGAATTACGCTGTCTATATGAATCGTCCCGGACAGGACGAAAATAACGGAACCGGGATCTTTATCCATTTTATCTATTTTTCCTTAAGATGTTACTTAAAAGTCCCTTTCATGTCCTGAAATGGTTATTTGTATTTCCCCCCATATTACTCTGGGAAGGCTGACTGTTGGCCATTAGTATATATTTTCTCTTTTTACAATGAATGCAATATGTTTGCGTCCTTGCTTTTGAGCGCTTTTTACTTTGTAACCGATGACGCTGCAGCTGCTCTATTTTTTGTGAGCGGCATCTTAGGTCATTTGTTATCTTAACTCAATTTCACATTCTCATATTTGTCTGGGTATTCTCTTAATTAGTTGACAAACCCTCGCTTTGTTATAGTTTTCACATCACTCTAAGTGTTGTTGCAGAAGTGTTATTAGCCGTGGTGAAGTCGCCTTACCGGTAGCTTAAACTCTTATCGTTTTGTATAAAAATAAGAACCGGATGTCATTAAATCGACATCTGCGCCTCTGCAGACTTGTCAGCAATCTTGTTATCGAAATGATGATCTTTATGATAGTTGTAGATGGACAGATTCTTCTCGCCTTCTCACTTTTTCAGGCCATATCTTTGCCTTGCAATCGCTCTTTTGATGTTTAAACTGAAAGGTTTTTGACCATTTTAAAGCGAGCATTGGATTTGCACGGTAATTGATGCGTTTTCCTCTAATTAGAGCTGGCAACATTTTGAACAATTTTTCTCGTAGACGTTTTTGGGCATTCACTTATGTTCCACTCTTTTACTGGACTTGTTTGAGCCTTTTATAAGTGTTATAATGTTCTAGAAATTTCACAGTAATTAGTTTCGCTTTGACAAATTGAAGATGGTGCTTTAAATCGCCCCATTAGAGGCATATATCGAATTGCACTAAATTACCTGGGTGTTATGTGGTATCTAACATCCGGCTACTGTAGACTTGTTAGTGATGTTGTCACCGAAGGGAGGTTCGTCTTAATTGTAGCAGATTTAAACCGACTCACCCAAGCATAGTCATAGATATATCGTTTTTTAATCGGTGCGAAATAAGAGTTCTTCGTCATTCACATAAACACCAGTCTTTATGAAGCCGTTGTTACCTTTTTGCAAGTAATATTGACTATATACGACCTTTTTCACGTCTTTAATATTATTATGTCGGTCAGATTTGTCTGTAATAAGTGTTATATAACTGCTTTTCAACTTACATAACCTGTGTCGGCTTTACATCTCTTGGTATTAACAAGTTTCGGGGGCTTTACCATGAGCTCTTATTACGATTCAGTTTAGATCTAAAATGAATTGTTGTGAGACAGCGCTACATGAAGTGTATATCACCATCCCGCTTTTTAGTCGTTACAAACCTATACTGAACTGTAAAGAAGAGTTCTTGCTAAGGCTCCAGGTTGTTTTTCAACACGTTTACATTCCCTTGCGCCTTTGGGAATCCACGGTTATCGTGCTATATTGGTCCTAAATTGTTTTCATTTTTGTCTTACGTATAAATGAATGTCTTTTCATTTATTTATTACTGACAGGTCCCGCCTGTGTGGAATTGTCAGCAATCTTATTACCGAATTGACGCTCAAAAATCATGGGTTCCCAAACTCACAGCCCACTTAGGCAAGGTAAAATAATTTCAACGCCCACCACAACAAAAAATAATTGAAAAACACGTGGTT